GTACATGTTCCCTATAAAAAAAACCCCTAAAAAAAAAAAAAAAAAAAAAAAACTATCCTGAGGTTGGGGACCAGCAGATGGCATACGTCGATGGACTCCCATGTAGTCAGCCATGGTTCAAGTCCCGAACCCAGCAGCTTAAACTACCCCGAGGTCACTTGTTGCTATAATGGGGCAAGCACAGGCTTTGGAGGTTGGACTGCAGTTTGCTCACCAGTCCTGCCACTCTCGGTGAGCCTTGTGACCCTGTCTGTGCCACAGGGCATATGGTCCCCACTGTCCCTGTGGGCGACCACCCGGGGAGTGTGGCCATCAGGGGTGGGGCCCGACCCATCCTCGCTATCAGTGTCTGTGGTCGAGGCATCGTGAAGCCCTCAGGGTCTCTCTGTGACCAGGGCACAGAACCCCTGCTAGGAGGTGTGACCACTCCCCAAGCTCCGTGCAGTCCCTGGTGTGACATCAGAAGGGGAGAGTGAGAGGCTTTGCTCTGTGGCCGACACCTTCAGGGTCTCGTTCTGAGGACCGGGCAGCCCTAAGCCCTGGCCTCGGGCCACGGTGCCTAAGCACCCTTCAGCATCTTCTCTGTGAGCCGCGAGCCCGTGAGTCCCGTTTTACAGAGAAGTCCAGGTCCGGGGAGGAGAGGGGCCTGCTCCGCTAGCCTTTGCCGTCTGAGCAGCCACTGGCTGAGCGTTCACCAGAAGCCGGGCACGTGATCTTTGTGTGTTATTCTCAGAATCCCCCTTGAGGCAGGAGTGGCCCTCCTTCTCTCTCGTATGCCCGCATCTCGCTTTCTCTCACTGAGCAAACTTGCTCCACAAAATGAGCCGACCTCCAGCGCACAGTGGGGTGGATTTTCATGTCTCTGTCGGCCTGCACAACCATCACCCAGACCTAGTTGGGTCACACCACCCTCTCCCCTGCAGGCCCCTCGAGCCCTCCCCAGTCAGTCCCTCCTCACCCACCAGAGGAAACTCCTGGCATTTCTTTCTTTCTTTGTTTTGAGAGAGATTTTTGCTATAGGGCACATGCGCTCAACAGAGAGAGACAGAGAGACAGAAAATGAGAAATTACCCCCTCCCAGGGGGGGATGGCCACACCACAATCCCTTCTCCTCCATTCTCCTCTCGGGATCTTGGGCACACGCACATGCCTCCAGCGTGAGGTTTAAGCCACCAGGTCCGAACTCGAACTGTATGGGAGTCCAGCAACATAACCATTACTCCATCTGCTGGTCCCCAACTCCTGGTTTTATCTTCTCTTGAACCTCTTATAAGTGGAGTCAGGCAGCATGCTGTGTCTGAGATTCAGCCGCACTTCTATGGGTGTTCTTTTTCAGGGCTGTGTAGTATTTCGTTGTCTGACTACATCACAAGGTGTATTCCTTTTTCTGTGGGTGGGAAACAAAAACAATTTCGTCCAGGTTTTCGCTATTACGAATGAAGTCTCTGTATATTTAGGGACAGGTCTTTGTGTGACCAAATACTTCCACTTCTCTCCGTTGGCCTGGAATTGCCGGGCTATAGGATAGGTGGAAATTTCGATTGACGCAAAACTACCAACCCTTTTTCTAAAATAGCTGTTTCCTTTCACACTCCCACCAGCCACGCATGAGAGTTCTGTTGCTTCGCATCCTCGTCTACGCTTGGTGCAGTCGTTTTAATTTTAGACACTCTGGTGGGTGCACAATCGTACCCATTTCATGGAAGCAGAAAGTGGGGCTCAGAGAGGCCGAGGCTCTTTGCCCCTGAGGACGGAGCAGAGTCTCAGATCCTGTGACACTCAGGATTCTGGGACTGCGTTGTAGCCACAGTTAAAGGCACGGAGCCCAGGACAGAATCAGAGCAGAAGAGGTGCTTCTGAATGCTTTCTGAACCGTGCATGGCGGAAAGCCGGCAGGATCTCGGTCCCCAGACTGCAAGCTCAGCGCCCAGCCTCCTCTGGCACGCCGCCCTGGGTCCCCTCCAGCATCCCCAGGGAGATCCCGGGCTCCCTGGTAACCCTGCCCTTCCCAGTCACACTGCTGGGAATGCATCCCCGTGAGCTTGCCAGGAAGGCTGCTCTACGAGCTGGCAGGACACCGTCTACGCTCACAGCTCAGGGCTCTCTTGGAGTCCCTGTCCCCAAAGGCACCGATTGTTCCTCTCAGGAAAACAACCCGTTCCGAGGTCGGGAAATCAATAAGGACGATGCAGCTTCAGGGGACTCCTCCTTGGCTCTGGCTCGGCCTCTGGCTTCCATGGCCCTGGCTTCCCCAGCCGCGCCTTGGCAATTAAGGCCGGGGCAGAGGACACCGAACACCCGAGATCCTACACTGGCTCTGCTCTGTCGGGCTGGGCCGCACCAGGAAGGTCACCTTCCCTCTCAGAGCCCTGTGGCTGTCCATCGCACACAGAGACTAGGTAAGAAGCCGGGTGCCTGGGTTGGCGCCGGGGGCGTCAGACCCTCCCTCGAGATTTCCCAGGGCATCCGGGCAGCTCCGTCGGGCCCAGCGCTTCTCCTGGGCGTCAGGTTCAAGGCAGATCCCGACTCAGCGGATCTGGGTGGGCTCTGAGCCCCTGGGTGTCTCCAGCTCCCAGGGGATTTCGATGTTCCTGGTCTGAAGACCGCACTGAGGGAACCGAGGGCTTCGCCCCCGACCCCATCTACATTCTCCTCTCACTCACACTTTCTAAATCGAGGCTTGTCCGAAGCAGTAATACGGATGCCCCGCTGGTTTGAAGTACCAGGTATACTTATAAAAAACTTTTTCATGTATTTATGCATTGGGTTGTCGGAAAAGTCATGATGCCTTTGTTCTGTGTTCTTGACTTTTCTGACAACCCAATATTATTTACATTTAATCACTAGACTTTTTTTTAAAAAAAAAAAGAATTATCTTATTGAACTTTTTATTTTAATTTGATCAGGGAAGGATAGAGAGAGAAAGAGATAGAGACATAGAGGGAAAGTGAGGAAGCAAGCCGCCAGGTCCGGGACTCGAACCAGGGTCAGCCATGTGGGAGTCCAACGCCCTTAACCAACATGCCACCTGCCGGCCCCAATCACTAGACATCTTTACAGTGTTCAACATGGTTTTTCCTAGCATGAACATAGTGCACATCAATCGAGACAAAAACATTATCATCCACAATAACTTTGTATTTTTTGTATCATTTAAATGTATTGTCTAGGGACCAGCAGATGGCATAATGATTACGTCATTGGACTCCCATGTAGTCGACCACAGTTCGAGTCCTGGACCCATTGGCTTTAAATTCACACAGGGCTCATGTGCATGCATGCACAAAGTCCCTAGAGGAGAATGGAGGAGAAGGGATTGTGGCGTGGCCATCCCCCCTGGGGGGTGATTTCTCACTTTCGGTCTCTGTTTCTCCTGTAAGCTCAGGTACCCTATAGCAAAAATCTCTCTGAAAAGAAAAAACTTAAAAAAATAAATGTATTGTTTGTTTTTTCCCTGTTCCTCTCCCTCCCTCCCACCAGGCCCCACCCGCTCTTACCCCTCCCTGCACTCTCGCTAGCTCTGCCGTTCCCCTCCCTGCTCTTACATATGCCAAGGGCACAATGCAGTCACGTGGCCGTTGGCACACAGATGGCCTCCTGCACTACACATGTTCTTCACATGGATGCTGGGCCTTTCAATAGTCCTCCTGGTTGGACCCAGTGTTAACCCCATCGTCGGCCCGAGCATCCTTGGTAAGACGTGAAACCCAGGAGCTCCGAGCCCGAGGTTGTGCTGTGAGGGGGTGCGGCCGAGCATGCAAGTGTGCGGGGACACCTCTGCAGCCCCACCTCACCTCCCATGCCAACTCTGACCACTTGGGAAGTCAGCCCAGGGCCTTCGGTGCCCCTGAGGGCCTGGGCACATGCAGCAGACCAGGGCGTGAGACTTGGCCCTGCAGCAGCCTCGGCTTCCTCATCTGTGAAATGAGCACATGAGCAATCCCCGTGGTACGGAGCCCTGGGGCAGAGGAAGCCGGGTCACCCGCACCAGGGGAACACGCGCTGCAGGGCGGGCCTATGCTAGCCTTCCCTGCCTGACTCGAAACCACACACACGGGGCCCCCAAGGCCCTGGCTTGCACTGTTTCCAGAAATCAGATTCTCCCCGACATAATCAGCCCTCCTCTTGATATCCTCGAAGACTAAACTCCCAAACACGGCCCTGCAGGAAGCCGGAGCCCCCCTCCCGACCCAGTCTCCCCAGAGTGGCAGGAACAACACAGCGCAGGCAGCCAGGCGGCTGGGGGCCTTCTCCCCCAGGCTTCAGTGCTAGGAACAAGGCCCCTCTGTGCATCTTTCCAGCCTCCCGACCCCGGGTCATCTGCCCGGCATGAACTGCCAGCTGGGTCCACCTGACCATGTCTCACTCCCTTGCTCAAGAACCTTCCAGAGCTCTCCCTGGCCTCTGACTCCTCTAGACTCGTCACCACAGGCACAAAGCTCCTTCGGGACTCCCCAGCCTCCCCGCTCTCTCCACTGACGCCCCCCACCCCACGGCCTAACCTGACTGAGAACTTGCTCCGTCCAGAGCATTTCCTGAGCTGGCCTCTCCCCAGGGTCCTGCCCCTCCGGGCCCCTCCTCCCCGTCGTAGGAATGAGCCCTCCTGCCTTCCCTAGTTTCTGCCCATCCTGTCTCCATCACACCCGGCCTCTGCCTCCACTGCCCCTGTATCCACAAGCATGTTCTCCTCCTCCTCTGGCTTTTACCGTGCACGCGTATACCCAGCCTCAGCCCCCGTCTGTACTCACCGCGAGCGTGCATGTACATGTGTGCACACGTGGGTGCGTGTGTGGTGGGTCCAGCTCCCGACAGCTAGAAGCTAGTCTTAACCCAGCACCGGACCCTCAGAGACCTCTTCCAGTTGGGTCCTGTTTTTCCATCTGCAAAATGGGCAGGAAGACTCTCCAAGTTTCACAGAAGTGCAGGGTCCTGAGGCCCCGCCCTCCCTCGCCTCCCCTCGGCTACATCTTCTGTCCAGCAACCATGAACTGTGCCCCAGAGGGCTGTTTCTGATGGCAGGGCCTCGGGGAAGGAGGAGGAGGCTGGGGCCCTAACTCCTACTCCAGCACGTCCCTCCAGGTTCTGCCTCTAGGAGGAAAAGCTGTGTGGGGACCCCTGGTACTGAGCAGCCAGGAGGCATTAGGTCACCGCAGAGTCAGAAATGCCACGGGGCGTCAGGGCCTGGTGTGCCCCAGCCCTCCAGGCTCTGAGAAGCAGACGTGGGACAAGTCAGCCAGGCCCTTGTGACTTGGCTGTTCCCACCACATACCCTGCAAGGGACAGAAGCTTGTCCTCATGTCCCCCCACCCACACACACCTTCCCCAGCCCGAGTGTCTCCCCTCCCAGCTGATCCACTCTCCCTCCCTCCCCCCGCCGCTGGAACTGTTGGCTTTAAATGAATGTATAAGCTCTGCCAGCCTCCCTACATGCGTGACCAAGTGTATTCTGATGCAGCAGGTTACAGAGCAGGCCAATGCTGGGCCTTGTGGGAAGCTCCCGGGTTCTCCTCCGGAGCTGTCCTGTACCCTCCAGCCATGGGCGCACCTGTGAGCCGGGCTGGTTGAGGCGGGGAGTGGATGAGGCATGAGGACCCTACAGGGGGGCACCTCTCTCTTTCTTCTCCTCTCGTTCGGTCACTCTCTCTGATGGAAAAGATGAAATAAACGTTCAAGGAAAAATAAAAACACATCACATCGAGTAGATGTTGACACTGTTTTTTAATATCTGGTCTCCTTGGTCTACGATTAATATATGTCTAGAGAAACCTAAAGAATCCTTAGAAATGAGAGGTAATGAGAAAAGAAGAAACTAATGATCGTGGAGCTAGTCGTTGGCATGGAGGTGGGCCAGCTGGAGCCCACGTGGTGACTGCAGCTTGCGTCCTGGACCCGCCAGCTGAGAAACACACCATGTGTACATGTGTGTGTGCATATGTGTGTACGTGCGTGTCTCTGTGTGTATGTGTGTTTGTGTGCGCATATGGGTGTGCATATGTGTGTATGTGTGTATGTATGTGTGTCTCTCTGTGTATGTGTGTGTCTCTCTGTGTATGTGTGTTTGTGTGTGCATATGTGTGTATGTGTGTATGTCTGTATGTGTGTGCATATGTGTGTATGTGTGTCTCTGTGTGTGCATATGTGTGTACGTGTGTGTGACTGTGTGTATGTGTGTGCCTCTCTGTGTATGTGTGTTTGTGTGTGCATATGGGTTTGCATATGGGTGTATGTGTGTATGTCTATATGTGTGTGCATATGTGTATATGTGTGTATGTCTGTGTGTGTCTGTGTGTGCATGTGTGTATATGTGTTTGTGTGTATATGGGTGTGCATATGTGTGTATATGTACTGTGTGTGTCTGTGCATATGTGTATGTGTGTGCATATGTGTATGTGTGTGTTGTGTGTGCATATGTTGTACATGTGTATGTCTGTGTGTCTGTATGTGTGTGTGTCTGTGTACATGTGTGTGTCTGTGTACGTGTGAGTGTCTGTGTGTGTGTGTCCAAAATCACAAAAGGAGAATGGAAGAGAAGAGATTCTGTCATGGCCACTCACATCAAGGGGTGCTCCCTCATTTTCCCTCTCTGTCTCTGGCGAGAACATGCTACCTATAAAATAAAGAAAATAATGACCCCTGAAAATATACGGCAAGGAGGGGGCGTGTCTGGACCTCGGGAAGGTGGGAGAAAGTCAAGGGAGGGGAGGTATGAGGACGCCCTTGCCTGGTCTGAGGAGGCCAGGCCAGTGGTGGCCCAGGCGGGGACCGCAGGATTCCACTTTAGCAAAGTGGCCAGCCCCGAAGAACCCAGCCACGCCACACGGGGCCTCCCAGGGCACAGCGCAGTCCCCTGCGGGGAAGCCACTGTTCAGGGTGACCCACCCGGTGCTCCTAGCCAGCTTGGAACCTTCTCCCTGAACTGGAAATGGACATCCAGGCTCAGCAGGCGGCGGAGGGAGGCAGCAACCCCAGAGAAGGGGAAGAGTGAGATCGAGACGGTGCAGGAAGCAGAAGACAACTTCCTAACCCACCGACGTGAGCCTCTCAGCCAAGATGCTGCAACCAGGGACAGAGAAGCCATGAAAGAGCCCTCTGGAGAACAAAAGGAGCCCTCAGAAAGAATGTTTTCAGGGCCAGCAGGTGACATAGGGGTTAAAAAGCCAGACTCTCACAGGGCTGACCACGGTTCAAGTCCCAGACCTGGTGGCTTGAAAATCAAGCTGGGTGCACGTACATGGGTACCCAAAATCCTGAGAGGAGCGTGGAGAAGGGATTGTGGTGGGGAAGAGGTGATCGCCCATTTTCCCTCTCTGTCTCCGCCAAGCGCACATGCCCTATGGCGAAAACCTTCAAAGAAACAAACAGCAAGAACATTTTCAAAGTAGCAGAAACGAGCATGTGA